TCCCCGGTGTTTGCTGGTAGATGATGTGAGATTCTGTTGTGTAGTAAAGCTAGAGGGCAGATTTCAGGTTACTTAAGTGGGACTCAAGTCTGTGAGGACAGTCAGTGCCTGCAAGGGCAGGCCACTGGGTCTCTCCATTTCACTCTTCTGCAAAGGGCAAACTAGTCTCCCTCTCCTGGCTGTGTTTCTCTTACTATGTTATCCCAGACTTTTGAACCCTAACCCAGTCACTTAGTTCAAAATACAGCCACACACTCTTTACTTGTAGTTCTTGTTTGTGAAGGAAAAGTGAGTCCCGGACAACTATGTTCAGCCATCTTAGAAAATCCTTTCTACAAGCTTTTAACAAGGAAATGAATCTGGAAAATATCCAGAGACTGAGTGTTTCATGCTCTTCCTTGCCAATGGAGATGAGTGGCAAGTACTTAGCTTGACTAGAGTCTTGAGATTACAGTTGAGAAGATGCTTCATAATGCTTTCAGGCAACAATTTATAGGCCACCAAGCAGAGTAGACTCGGGAGCTTTCCACTACAGACTCTTGGGTCTCACTGTCCAAGTATCTGACTCAAGAAGTCTGGGGTCAGGATGGAGAGCTTGCAAGTCCATCAGGTTTCTACACAATGTTGGCCTGCTGGTCCCCTGGACCATATTCTGAGACTCGTGGTTCTCATTCATATCTAAGTTTGTTGTTGATGATGGTATGTGTGCGCGTGTGGGCGTGCGCAAGGATGCACACTTCCTGCAAGGAGAGTATTTCTTCTAACAGATGATAAGTGACAAGGCCAGAAAGGACACATGAAGGAACCAACCAAACTTGGGGAAAGCAACATGAGGGGAATTCTAATTCTGATGCTGCTGTTGAGACTTGCTTTATTCCTTGTATCTTGATAGATGGAACAAAGTTTTGTTTTCAGATACTTCAGTTTGCCATGCAGTAGTATCACCCAAACAGTCTTTTTGCTCCATTTATTGGAGTGCCAGTTTTTCAAGGTTTAAGACTGGGTGTTGGTTAAATTTTACTTCTACAGTGACTATCACAAAAGTCTCTATAGAAACAGCTTTTTAAACCAAAGTCTCCTTCCTCCCTCCCTGAGTGGACACTGGAATTCCTGGCCCTGCTATACTGTATTCTCTGTGCTGAGGTAGCCTAGAAGAACTTGTTCTGGAAAGGCTAAGCACTCTGTAGAAAGAGCATAGTACCCACTCTTTTTGAGAGTGGTTTCTCCTGAGCCCACTGGACTTCTGGGGATGCATCCTTTCTCTGCCTGCCAACAAATCTGAGCCGGCTCCCAACGCAGCTGCTTTCCAGGTGGGATGGACTACAGAGTCATCTCTACGTAAAGGCTTTGGGTTGTGTGCAGTGTCTTTCTGACAAGCATTTAGATGGATATAAAAGGAACACGAAGCAGGAAATATTTATTGACAGGCAAGCAGTTCCTTCCAGCATGCAGAAGCACATTGTAAAATGATACTTATAAGCTGTAAGAGAAATGTAACTATTTAATTTTACCACTTTTCAGTGAATATCTCACACTACATCAATTGACTTGTAAAAGATAAATGCATGTTTTTCAAATATCCACTCTACCTGGGCAGGTTTGAAACATATTTATAATCAGTTGGCTACTTGCTCGTTTTGAAAGCACCATCTAATTTTACATTTAAGTGAGCTCTGGGATTTCTGGGTGCTGGCTGATTGGGAGCTTCAGAGAAAAGGATCTGCTCTTTCATGAGGGAGCTGGACCTGAAGGTAAAACCACACTGTCAGCCCTCATTACGTAGGCAGGAAAGCAGCTGAGGACATAGCAGTGCCGTGGAGTGGTGAGGGGGATGCTGCTGCTGCTGGCCTGCCACTGCCCTTCCCCAGTGCCGCAAGAGTGGACAGGCACCCATCTGTGGAGTCCAAAGCTATCTGTGAATAAACAAGGGGTCCCAAATAAAGCCAGATTGTAGGGCCTGATTAGGCAGAACCTATGAGAAACTAACCTTGGGGTAACACTCAGTTTTCTGTTGCAGAAAATCTCCAGTAACCCTTAGAGTCAGAATGTTGTTTTGGTCTAGAAAGAAAACTTCTGACACAATTCTCATGTGTGGCTTTGTTCCGGATGGTTTCAGAGTGTGGAACATACTTGGTTCCAACCCAGAGATGGCTCCTATCTGTCAGGCAGTCATCAGGCAAGCTGTGGCAGATCTCTGTAGGATGGTTACCCTTGGGGAAGCTAATGGCACCACTCACTCAAGGGACTCAATGCTATATGCTTGGCAGAGCTCTTCCCCTTGGAGTCTGGATTAAGACTCCCTTTGAAAACTAGCTTGTTTTTCTTAAGAGATTTATGTATTATTTCAAGAGCTGTGCTGGGGATGTATTAAATTAAGATGGAGAAGACCATGGGGTGAAGCAAACAAAAGGAATTAGGCCAACTGCTGTGACCTGGATCTGGAATGTTCTCTCAAAGATCCAAGTGTCATGTGGTACTGTGGTACTGTGGACATGGTGGGACCCTTAGGAGATGGGTCTAGTGGAAAGAAGTTACGTTATTGGGGTCATGCCCTTGAAGGGGTTATTGGGTCCCTGACTCCTTCCTTACTCTTTGTTTCCTGGCCACTATGAGATGAGCAGCCTCCTCTATCATGAACTCTCCAATGTTGTAGTGGCCCATTCCTGGCCCAAAGTAACACAGGCAAGTGACTTTGAGCTCACACCTGTGGAAGTGTGAACCTGTTTTCCTTTGTTTATCTTAAGTATTTGTCACAGCAGTGGAAAGCTGACTAACACACTAGGGCAGCTCAGCAAGAATCCAGTAATGTTCTACTGTCAGTATTACCTAGTTTGAAAACCCAGACAGTTTGAAGGTCAAACTGCTACTTTGTTTTCATGGTATCCTGTTGGAAGTCAGGAGCAAGATGCATGTCTGTGAGTAGAAGAAGTGAGTCAGTCTCTCTCTCTCTCTGCCTTTTGGGTGCTGGGATTAAGGGTGTATGCCACCACCGCCTGGCTAGAAGGAGCTTCTCTTAAAAGAACCAATCCTCCTGTTTTTTCCATTATTCTGGGAGAGGCTCATTTTAAGATAAGACATGCACCTTATGGAAGGGCCATCAAGGCTCAGGCAAGGTGTCTCAGATGAAGTGGCTGAATGGGTCCCTGACATGTGGACTGTCATCAGTGTTGTGACAATACCCACGTTTGAGGCAGCTGAAAGTTATCCTCTGGGTCACACACCTTAATTCCTCACATATCCTTGGTGACTTAAAAGTCACAGCTTACTGCATGTACTATGGGTAGTTAAGGGAGAGGTGAGCTGCAAGTTCAGGAGAGAACTGTTTGCTTTTCCAAGCGAAGTTATCTTAGGAGCGACTGACATTGGGAAGCTCCAGCAGAAGGTATAATGGAAAGCTACTTGTTGATGAAGCAATTCGAGGAAGGAGAGAACATCATAGCCTCCTGGGGAAATGCAGAGTGAGTGGGCTACAACTGGCAAGGCTGCCCTGGACCTGTGAGCTCACATTATGCAACCACCTTCCTCAGATGCTACTCGATGCTGTTAGCGCTAGGTTTGGGTCTAGCAGGTCAGTTCCTTCTTATCATTTTTTTCTCTTTCCCCATTGGAATGAGGATGTTAGTCACTGTATGTTAGAAGTGTTTCACTTGCTTTTCTCAGGGGCTCAGGGTTGAGTTTGTCTAGTGTACCGGGGGAGATTTGCAAAGGTGTTAAGCACAGTTACATCCTCATTTGGATATTAATTACAGAGAAGAGATGGATTTATGTCGACTTGATTCTCGGTTGATCTGAGAGACACCAAGTAGCAAGCATAGGTGTGGGTGCTGGTAAGGGTGTTGGGAGAGAGGATGGGCATGCAGTTCTGTCTCCGTGAGGTGAGCAGCACTGCTCCCCAAGCTCTTGGGCCTCACTGCTCTGCTTCATTACCCCCCCCCCCCAAACCACACCCAACCACGGCTAGCTGTGGACTAAGCTGAAACCATAAGCCACAATAAGTCTCACTTCCTTTTAAATTGTTTCAGGTCAGGCACCTCCCTCTTCCCTTTTGCCTCTGTTGGGGTTAAGGGGAAGGGACTCACTTCAACTGTTACCCTCCCCCACAGTCCTACATAAGGGAGTGCTCAGGGATTCCTTTCTTTGATCAACTGCCTTCCCTTGTCCTTTTCTCAGTCTATATAACCACACCAGCACTAGGCTGTATGGCATCGAAGGAGAGGGGCAGAGAAGACTCAGTTTTAAGCAGCGGAAACTAGAAAGAATAAATTAGTGTATACTAACATTTCAGTTTTCTGGCTCTAGGTTTAAGCTGTGATGCAGGCTCTCTGAGTGTGTTTCATCTGACAGCACAAGGGCATTTGGATAGCATGAATGCAGTGTCCCTGCTACTCTGGTGGTTCTATATTTCTAGGTGGTATGATGATGGAGATTCTAGAATGCCACATTTACAGGCTGATTTTGGGTGGCTCAATCTACTTGTGAATTATTGAAACTAGATGAAATTGGTTCTTGATGTATCCAATTGGCTGTCTCATTTTAAGTCTTGAGAAAACTAATTTAAATAGCTATGACTGTGACAAAATTAATTTAAATAGGTTATGACTGTGTTCAGAATAGTTTAAGCTGGGATTTGCTTGTCTTCCTCAGACTACTCAAGTAAGATTTGGTTGTTAATTTTCCTGGAAGCTGGAAGTAAGACAGTTTGAATAGAGCCTAACAGGACTGCTCTGATTAGTGGCCTCTATCTAGTTGTCAGTAGAAAGCCTGTGCTGGAACCTTGTCTTAGAGGCCTAAAGAGCAAAGTCCATGGCCATATGTATTTATTCTTAAAATCAACCTGAATAGTGTTTATATGTATAGACTCAGGCTTTTAGCTAGGCAGGAATAAGCCCTGCTTGCAGCATCTTAGTCTACTCTCTAAGAGCTATCTATGGGCTGATGTTGTTGACTGATCAGGTGTCTCCAGCCACCCACCTCCCCTCAGACCATGCAGAATCCCTCACCTTGATCCGGCTTACTGCTTCCTGGGCCTGCATCATGCGTACATTTTTGGAGGGAGTTTTGTCTGAGAGCAGCTGAGTGGAGCCAAGGTAATTGGCAGCAAAAATAATTCCATCAATCAAGTCTTCAGGATCACAAGGGCCAGGAACTGTAACACATAGACTGAAAGTTGTCATGGGAGGATACCACAACCTGGATGTTGCATGTCAACTCCTAAGCTCACTGTTTAAATATGTGGTCAACCTGCTAGTATAAGATATCTTAGAGTCATTTACTAAGAGAAATCATATATTTACTTGGATATGAATCAAAGTCCAACAGTAAAAAAATTGTGTCTCTTAGCCAGGCCTGGAATCCTAGTTGCTTGAGAAGCTGAGACAGGAGTCCTGACTGTTCAAAAGTTTGCCTATAGATACTTGCCTGACATGTGAAGCCTTAGATGGAGCAATTCCCCCTTCCCCCTGCTTAGTACTGGGGATTGGAACATGAGCTCTTTGGCAACAAGGGTCCTGCCATATTCATCTTTGGCTTTCATGCCTGTCATGTATGTCTATAAACTGTATGTCTGCTTGGGTAAATGGTTAGAGGAACAGAAATCTGTGGTAATGGCAAACACCATTTCCCAACACTTCCTATTTCCTTCCCTGTTTGATCTGTGATGGAGGAATGACACTTCATACATGAGGAGAAAAATGGGATATTTCTTTCCTATAATGGCATCAGACTCCAACTCTGAAAATCGACAGCATCACCGCAAAACCTTGCTCCCATGCTGCCAATCTTGTCAACTGACAGACCATGAGGCTCCTAGCTTCACATTGAGATCAATCCCAATTCTCTTCTCACTCACTAGTCCACTAAATTAAATCTCTGTTTTAAGTAGAGGGACATCTGATTTTAATCACAATCACCTAAAATCCACACTCCAAATTAAAGCATGTCTGTAACTGTTACATATAACAGATTCACAAAAGACAGACATTTAAATTGCAAGTAAAATATGTATTTTCTTTGACTTGAATGACAATTCTGAGGAGACTAAAACATAACCCACTGTGAAACCTCAGGTTCTAGAAATGAAATAACTTGAGGTGGAAACAATTTGCTTTCCCTCTTGTAGGGCTAATCTGAAGTGGTTTTTTTTTTTTTTTCATTTTAATGGTCTAGCTTGCCTTGAGTTTCACCCCATGAGAAGCTGCTGGCCAAGGTACAAACTTATTCACTTTTCAACAACTAAGGCTATAGTCAAACCACAGAAATGAGCAGTTTGTCAGGACCTTCATGATACACCGGGGCATAGCTTTACTTCTTGACTATCCCCAGCCTTTATTCTTGGTCTGTGACAAGAACAATGATTCACAGTAATTTTACTGTAAGTCTAAGATACCCAGAGTCAGTAACTTTGTGGTCTTCCCCCTATTTTGTTTTACATCCAGTGCCCCAAAATGCTAAAAGAGTCATGAGTGACCCCAGTACTCAATATTTTCTCTTCAGCTCTTACCTTCAACGTAGGTTGGGAATGAAGCCAAGCTTTTTCTTGACTGTAATTAAGACAAAGAGGTTTCAAAAAGGGCAGAGCATGATGAAATATGCATTAGCACAAGCGTCCATGCAACATGAAAAAGATATACATCACCAGTGGCATTTGTTAATCAGTTATCGACCAGTTTTCATTAGAGTGAAGTGTGGATAAACATAAGCATTTACTATTAAGGTTACCTAAAACCCAGAATTGCCCTCTGAAGTGATCAAAATCCCCCTACATTTCAGAGAGGTGTTTGCCAGCTTTTAAAAAAGTATAATCAGCAATAAAGACTATGCTGTACATTTTAAGAAAGTATTCAGTGTGAAAAACTATTGATTACTAAATGCATCAATAGCATGACTGTGTACTCTTGAGAGTAAGGGTTCTCTGGAGAGTTTATCCTTTAGGTCTTTGACACAGGGTATCTGTTAAAAGGAAAATAAACTCTTGTACCTTTTAATCTCTCACTGATTCATTTTAGTTGAAAAATTCCATATTCTGTAAATCATGAATTTGTGTTTCTTTGAAATAAGAATACAAGATTAAGTTTAAAACACTGGCACTTCTTTATGTGTTGGCTCACAGCAGAGGTCGGCCTTAACAGCACTGTTGGATGGGGTGAGCTAGATACCTTCTAGAATCTGGCTGGAAGTTTCTACGCCAGCATGCTAAGGAGCAAAGCTTGCCACAGGCTCTTTTCATAAGCACATATGCTCCAAATGGCTCTCCAGGAGAGAAGAGGAGAGAATTCATTTCTGCTTCATATGGTATCAGAACTTATAGCTGAAATGTGTGGGGCCTCAGAGGACAGCTCAGATTCAAAGTAAGCACCTAAAATGGGCAAAAGGTAGGATTTACATGGCCAAGATTTACTGTCGGGGCATGTGATCATTTAGACATGCTTTTTGGAGGACATCTGTTCAGTACATTGTCCTGCTAGATGACAATATGCACTGGGGTACCTGATGGGCTAGATGAGCAGGCTGTGGGTGAGGACTAGGGTGTCACTCTGTTACTATACAGAGCATTCTATCATTGGCATGCTAATTGTTTCATGTTGAAAGCTGGAGCATCTCATCATTCAGGACAGTGACAGGAATTCCACACTAATTGCATGGTAGACCATATAGGACAACTCTCAGTAGGCCTCCTGCAAATGTGCTCACTGGGAAGAAATGGCACCTTCTGTCAAAGAAATTGGGTCTCTTGGGTACCAAGAACTGAAGTTCCTGGCTGCTAGTGCATTTGTGGAAAACAGCACAGCATATGAGGCAAGGTATGGCTAGGACACCCATGCTCTCATCTGGAGAGCTCATGCTATGTTAGCTTCTTCACAGAGGCCAAAGACCATTTCCCACCCATCTCCTGCCCTTACTCTCAGTGTTTGGGGGTGACAGGGGGGCGAGGAGAAGTAACAGGAAGTCACTTAGCATCATCAAAATGGCTTAGTCTTCAGGCACCTTTAAAAAAACAGATTCAGTGTTCTTGGGCTACTAGGACACTTCTCTGAATGCTAAAACCCATTTTAGCAGAAGCTACAGGAGAAGTACTTTGGGGCAGTTTTTCAGGGGTCATCTGAAGTTGGTATAGTCCATAGACATGACAACTGGAAGTGTGACCTCACACACTTTCCACACCAGGTGCAGTAGATCCTGGCAGTTCCAAACCTGGGCCAACAGGACTTCACATTCAGACCACAGCTGGCCACATGTGAGCTGTGTAGCTGAAGGTACCCAAGCTCTGGCTTTCAGAACTAACACATGAGAAGAAGAGTGATATCCATTACCCAGAACCACTGAAAGGCTCCGTGAGAGTCAGCCTGGTGCCTGGAATACCACAAATGCTTAATAAACATAATGTCTGCTTCTGTTGTTGGCACTGAAGCACTCACTCTTCCCTTCTTACCCACCCATGTGCTATGAATAAAGAAAGTATCAAGTAATGGCAAAAGGGGCCAGCAGGAACTATGACCCCATCACTTATGTTCCAGCGGCAGTCTGTGAACAGACTAGATAAGGATAAAAATCTATATTTCCCTCTCATAAATAGGACACAATCTGTTATTCAGGTACAAACATTTCTTTTTCTGTTCCTAGTTGAATTTAACATAAAATTGTCAGCACAGTGAAGGAGCATGAGACGTGTGACTTCACCATCTTAGGACTGATGAAGGAGCATCTACAGCTGGTTCCACTTGTGCCCACACAACCACTGTGCAGGGAAATGGTCACCTGGTGTGGACCCCCAGTAGGCAGTGCCCATTGCTTTGGGATAAGAGGACATTGGGTGCTAAAGGAGGCAGTGGCTCTACTCAGGGAAGAACACCCACCCTTTTCAAGCCCCAGAAATCATATCTCATGACTTAAGAACTCTGTCAGAGTTACGTGTGTCCCCCATGAGTGAGGTAAACACAGAACTTTACAACCTCCTTGTTGAGTAGCTTCTAGCCTATAGTTAAAATGAGAATTTTAGTTCCCCAATCCTACTGGCCATGTTTCAAGAGTTCTATGGGCATCTGAGGCTAGTGAGCACCCCTGACAATACAGAAGTGGCTCATTCCACCCACGCAGAATGTTCTTTTGGAAAAGATGCTGGTAGACAGTTTTTGAGGTTCAATGTCCCTGTGATACAAGAGTTCTGTAACTTGTTGCAGATGGCACTGGAATGCAAGTGGTATGTATGCCCAAGGGTGTGAATTCTCATGTTCAGTAACTACCAGACACCTGTGGCCAGTGATTACCAAACTTGATAGATCATCATGGCTTTCACTGACAATCTTCACACATCAGAGAGGAAATATATATCCTTGGGATAGGTGGAGGTGAAACCAATAAAGCATTATTGGGGTGAAGCAAAATAGGCATCAGGAATGAAGATGGTGCCCTACCTCTTTATTTGTGGAAGCTTCCGTGGGGTCACCGGGATGAAGGGCTATGCTTGATGACTCAGCACCCAGGGGTGAGGAACTGCCCGGAGAAGGAGACTGGAACACAGCAAGAGGGACAGACAGCAGTAAGACCCAAGGGATGTGACAACAAGTAACAAAAACCTAGAACTGCCCTGAGGGGACACTGCAGTGGGAGAAGCATCCTTGGCAAGAACTACCAACCACATTTAGCAGACCTGGCCGTGCGAGTTCTCAACTCCGTCTCTTCAAAGGAGTTCTATAGCTTTGGGGCTTTTTCTCCTTCCCCCATTGGGCTAACATTTTATAGGAAATATGGACTTATGGTGTGTTATGCAATATGTTAATTTTTTCCTAGTGAAAGTTACAAACACTTAGAATACAAATGTTTAAGTCACCTGTCCAAGGCCATCTGAATGGAAAACTCAAACTGCCCATTGTATTGTCCATGTCAGCTCAGATGTCTATATGTTGTCCCTATTAATTCATAGGCCACTGAAAATTCAGACATTTCAACATTCAAACCACACTGTTTTGGTGCATGTCAGCATACTTTAGAGATCCTTTGTCAAATGACAGGCTTGGAAATAAGGCTTAGAAAAACAGGTTTGGGGAACAGGGTCCCTGTGTTAGTGTGATAGTGTCTTGGTGGGTGGGTGGGCATGGGCAGGCGTTAGTGGTGGACATGAAACCTTGGTTTGTGCACAGAACACAAGTACCCCCCGCTTAGTACTTGCTAAATGAATGACCAAAATAAGCAAGCCTGGAAATACTACCATATGATACCAGAAAGTCCTGTGTGGTCTTGAAATCTTGGGAGATGAGGGGCATTTTCTGGTGGGCCTCACAGATGGTTACCAATTCTGTAGTGATGGCATCGGGGTGCAAGGGTGGGGTAATTCCCAGCTGTGGGTGATAGCTCTGAGAACCCACATGCAACATGAGAGTAATCATGCAGGACTTACTCTCCCAGTGTGGGGATGAGAGACTAGGCAGAGGCAGGCAGATCTCTGTGTGCTCGAGGCCAGCCTGGTCTACAAGAGCGAGTTCCAGGACAGCCTCCAAAACAATACAGAGAAACCCTGTCTCGAAAAGCCAGAGAGAGAGAGACAGACAGACAGACAGCCTGGGCAGCAAATGCTGACCAAAGGAAAGTAACACCCGTGCACACCTGACTTTCTGCACCTGGCTCTCTGCGGAAGTTAGGTACAAGGCATCAGGAGAATATTTTTGCACAGGAAGGGAAAATGTTTCACAGTGAAGTGGTGCTGGGGGAAGGAACAGGGCATGTGAACACACAAGAGAACCTCAGAGGGCATTATTGATAACTGGGGAGAAAACTTCCAAAAAGCCCGAATTACAAGAAATACAGGGAACACCAGAAGATGACACAGTGAAGAGCAATATTTAGCTAAGAAGTTATGTGACCACAGTCTCTGGGCATATTATTGCTTGATTCTAAGCAGGGAGGCTAGGGCCCAGGAGCCCCTTACATGGTGAGATGGAGACATCTGTGGCCACAGTCAAGGCAGGAGGACAAGCATAAAGGTGACAGCAGATACAAAGTATCCCAGGCCCCATGGCTCCTGGCCCCAGTGAAGCAGCCTTGCATGCCTTTCCAAAGAAGCACGCAACATTTTCCAGCCATTGCCCAAGAGAGCTGCTGGTTGCAGAAAGATTTAGTACTGTTTGGTTGACTCAAAATTAATGTGGGAAAGGCTGAGAATTTAATGCCTTGAATCTCTCCAGTTTTTCATATCAAAAGGGCTTCCTTTGATATTTGTGGCTTGATTTGTTTCCCCGAAGTAATTTTCTCTGTCCCAAAGACTTTAAGGTTCCCTCTGAGCCTTAGGGAAGCCACTGCAGTTGGGTTTTCTTGAACTGCTTGCTTTTAGGGTCATGGACATCTTCATATGGCACTCCCTGACAGACAGCCTCATATTTCCCATTTCTTTATTTTCCACTCCAATATTCTACAAATAGATTTCTTACCACCCTGTGGGCCCTGGACTGCCAGTCAGTGATGTGCAAAGACAGGCTATCTGGACAGTGGGCAGGGATGTGGAAGACGGAACCCAGACCCATAAAAAGGTAGGTGTGGGTAGTGCAGGGTGCCCATCAGGGAATGGTGGGCATAATGAGGACACGAGTCTGCTGGTCACTCCTATGGAATGTGCTACAGTTTGTATTATAACTTGCTTATGTGTATGCCTAAGCCCCAAGAGCTCTTCAGGAGGAGGAATCTTGGCTCCATTATCATACAGGTGCCTAGGCTTAGAACTTCATAGTAGTTAGGGACTTAGCAATGGGAGGCATGGACAGATGACTTCAGTGTAGTACCCTGGTTATACCACTTCCAACCTGCCCTGAAGATATGGGACAACACTGCCCACTGCCTCCCTGGGATGATCTCTTTTAGTGGTCAGTAGTGAGTCCTCCTCTGATGTAGTACCCCTCAGCTTCTCTGTGTAGAACATTAATTGTTCATCTTGACCTCTAGAAATCTCTTTTTCCTGTGAGGACTCTAACTTGGGCTCTAGTGAAGTTCTTTTAACACACAGAGCTACAAATTGCCACTTGCTGACCAAGACAAGCATGCACAAACACCTTCAAACAGACCTAACCCTTACAAGGGTGAGGCAAAGTTATTCAGATGCCTGCTTCAAAATCTTCTGTTAACCTTCAACCTCACTGTTGTAGAATATTATTTTAACTGGGAAAAGATGTGTTCCATTTGTTTATGCTGGGGAATATTATTTTGACTATGTGAAGGTGTGTTATATTTGTATCTGCTGCCTTTGTTAATGTTGTAAACATGTGCTGCATTTATTTCACCTTGCCTGCCTAAGGCATCTGATTGGTCTAATTAAAAAATGGAACAGTCAATAGCTAGTCAGGAGAGGGATAGGCAGGTGGGCAGAGAGAATAAATAGGAGAAATCTAGGCTTGAGAGGAATGAGAGGAAAAAGAAGAGAGGAAAGAATGAGGGAGAAAAAGGGGGAGATGTCCAGGGCCAGCCAGGCAGCTGCCAGCCAATAGACACAGAGTAGGACACACAAAAAGAAAGGTAATAAGCTCCAAGGCAAAAGGTAGATAAAGATAAACCGCTTAGGTTAAGTTAAAAGAGCTAGCCAGAAAGGAGCTTAAACTAGGCTGAGCCTTCATAACTAATATTAAGTCTCTGTGTCATGATCTGGGAGCTGATTGGTGGCCCCAAAGAAAAAGCCTGGTACACATCCCTCTGGTAAAAGAAATTGGATAATAGCTTTCACTTTCATCATGGCATACCTGTGTTAGAATCTTATACCCCCTACTACTGCATGGGTATTCAAACTTAGGCAAATGAGAATAGGACTAGGAAGCAAAGTTGGATTTGATAATTCACAAAATGAGGGCCAGAACATTGCTTGTAGGTGTGCCATAGATGCTAGTAGCCATGTGCTTATCTTGTGGTGCCAAGGCAGGCCCTACTACATCCTATGGCTCCACATCAGGCCTAGCATCTCCCACTCATTCCCTGAGAATCCAGGAGGTCTCCTTCATGTGGGGTGGCTGAAGAGGGAGTGTTGCTGCTGCAATCCATCCTTGGAGGACCTTAAGACAGCATTTCCTCCCCACATCCAACACCACCAAAGCTATGGAAGCTGCTACTGCAGCCTCTGTGTATTCAGGGATCAACTCTGTAGAGTCCCAAGACACATACAGAAGCCTATGTCATGAACCCATATAACACAGACATTGCTGACATTAAAATCAAAGAAAAATCACAAAGATTGCTTTGGAACCCACTACAGACAACTCAAAATCAACTTAACATCCAACTGATGCCCTATATATCACTGAAACAAAAATACCTTTTCCTACAAAAGCTACTTTATAAAATTTGAAGAATGTTACACCAGATGTGCAGACATCATCAAGATACAAGAAATATGAAAGGAAACAGGATGCTTGCAAGAAAAAAATAACTGTCTAGAAATAGATCTGTGTGAAAGAAACCTAGAAATGCCTGAAAAAAAATTAAGCAACAATCCTAAGGAAACCCAGTGAGATAAGCAGTAGTGAAATGCCTGAAAAAAAAAAATTAAGCAACAATCCTAAGGAAACCCAGTGAGATAAGCAGTAGAAAGAAATGAGAAAAACGACTCTGGATGTGAATGAGAAGTTCACCAAAGACAAAAAAGAACCAATAAGAAAGCCTGGAAGTAAAACCTCCAACTGGTGACATAAAAAATACAAAGGAAGCTTCCATATCAGCCAGAAGAAGAAATTTTAGAATTTGAAGACAGCTCTTCTTAAAAGCCACTTTATAAAGGAATGGAAAAGAATGAAGAAACTCTAGGAAATGTTGGGAAACCATTAAGCAAAAACACATGTGAATTGTGAAAAATGAAGATAGTTAATGGGAAAGACACTGAAAAATATTTTTCATAGGAAAATGCCCCTGATGCTCTCAGATCTTTAAAGACCTAGGGACAATAGATTCATCAAAACAGACCCACACTCAGAGCATGTGAGAGTCAAATGACAAGAACACACAACAAGAAATCTTAGAATAGCAAGAGAAGATCACAAGTAAGGGGACATCCCTCAGACTCACAGGTTGCCTCACAGAAGCTCACTGCCTGCAAGAGAATGGAGGAGAAATCACTGCCTCCAAGAATTGCAGCCAGACACATTACCCAGATAGATCACAGACCAGTGCAGTAAAAAGTTCTTATGAGACTCTATTGAACAAACAAAAGGATTGTTACTGCCATGAAGACAACGGAGCACACACAAAGCTTAGCAGAAGGATGGGTGCATCACACACACAGAACTAAACCTCAGCAGGACAGAAAGATATTATAGATATTATAATGTGAAGAGAAACAAAATCAACTAAGTGAGCAGTGTGCAATTTACAAAATGACGGCAGGAGACTTGAGTCCTGAACATTACACCAGTAGCACAGACACTGAGATCTACAATAAATGGGACCTCCTGAAACTGAGAAGCTTCTGTAAGGCAAAGGACACAGTCAGCAAGACAAAATGGCAGCCCACAGAATGGGAAGAGATATTCACCAACCCCACATC